CCGCCGACTTGCCATCCTCGCCATCCTGCCTCTGCTGGCGGATCTCCTTGTGCTGCTCCTCGATCACCGCGAGCAGCTTCTCCTGCTGGTCCAGGAGGCGCTTCTGCTGCACCTGCTGCTCCTTGATCACTTGCAGCAGGACGGCGTGGTCCAGCATCTCTGCCCTGCCAGCTTCTGGCATTCGAAAAACATAGTCAGAGCCCGCGCTGGGCCGAGGTCACCGGGAGGCCCCTCCCCGGACGCCCCGAATGGCGCCATTCTTATCCCCCAGCTGGTCAGTGGGACATGCAGGCCAGAGGGACCGCCGAGGCCTCTGCAAGGATGGCGGCCACCGTCCCAGCTGCCTTGCTCTCACACCAGCTTGTGGCTCAGTCCCACGTGCCCCAAGTCGCTCAGGGGTCATGGCCAGGGTGGCCCCTAAAGGCAGCCCCTCCAGGCTGAGAGTTTAAAGCAAACAGAACTGGCTTCCCTTCAGCAACGAACAGGACCTCTGTGAGACCAAGGCCACCGCAGGCACACAGCAGGTCCCCACGTGCTGCTCCTGACCCCGCCCCCAGGGCACAGCAGCAAGCCCAGGGGGCTGCTGTGGCAGGTGTGGGGAGGCCCTGCCACAGCCCGTCACCCCCCCACGCAGGATGTGGCCCCAGTGGGCTTAGTGACCGGTGCATTTCCCACTAACGCCTCAGCACTGGGTCAGCTGCCCCGCAGCTCCCGATGAGACCGAGGGTCTCAAATAGGAAGCTTTGAAAGGCGCTGTGACTGGTCAGGGCTGCCAGGCATGAAAATTCACATCAAGAGAAAGGAGAATGTTTGCAAGTGGTGAGAGCGACAGCAAGGGCCCTGCTTGCCAAGCACACAGGACCTGTGACCTGTGACCTGCCAGAACAGTGTGGGGTCGGCCTTCTCCCAGGACTATGGTGGGGGGACCTCTGGAGGCCGGTGCAAGGATGTGCAGGCAGGCAAGCCCATGGGGAACATGCTAAAACTGACCATGGGAAGGACAGGACCATGAAGAGGACAGAAGACAGACCACAGGGAGGACAGAAGACAGGCCACGTGGAGGATGGGGCCACAGGGAAGAAGGGAGAACAAAGCTATGTGCAGGATGAGAGAACAGGACCACGGGCAGGACAGGAAGGGGGACCTCTCAGCCAGCCCAGCTGCAGCAGCCCCTGCTCCCCACCAGGCACCCGTCCACGTGTCCTCAGGGCATCAGGACACCTGCCTGAGCAAAGCCCCATTCATGGATGAGCCTGGGACTCTGCTCACCTCCCTTAACATGAGTGACGTGCATGGCGCTGCCCCACCTTGGCCATGGGCCACCCTGTCATTCTGGGTGCCTGGGGCTCATGACCATGTAATGGTCGATGGTACGACAACAGCCCCACGTTGCCAATACTGCCTGTCCCCAGGCGGGTGCCAGGGTCGGGGGGTGAGCCCCACCTCTTCACTGGCTCCTTGGAGGACCAGCCCCACACCAATGCCACGGGGATGGGGTACCATGTCTAGCCAGAAGTGACACATGAAACATATGAAACAGAGAGGAGATGACAAGCTGTGTCCATAGCCAGAGCCCCTCGTGGGATGCACCAGGACCATGGGGACCAGCCTCACGGATGGGATGAGAGCCGTCCAGATGCTAACACACACACGAAGACGCTAATGTCAGGCCAGGCACACAGCGGAAGGTACGTGCGGCCCCGCCCTGCCCAACTGGGGCCTTAGCGACCGGTGCTTACAGACTGTCCTGGTGACAGCAGAGGCACCGCAGGGCTAAGAAAGACCAAGGAATTCAGCAGAGGGGAGTTAGCTGGGGCATGGGGGCCCACAGGGGGTGGCGTGCCCGCGTGTGCCCGCGTGTGCCGTGAAGAGGTGGCGTGCCCGCGTATGTTCCCGCGTGTGCCGTGAAGGGGTGGCGTGCCCGCATGTGCCCGCATGTGGCGTGAAGGGGCGTGTGCCCATGTGTGCCCGCGCATGCCGTGAAGGGGCGGCGTGCCTGCGTGTGCCCGCGTGTGGCGTGAAGGGGCGGCGTGTGCCCGCATGTGTCTGTGTGTGGCGTGAAGGGGCGTGTGCCTGCGTGTGTCTGCGTGTGCCCGCGTGTGGCGTGAAGGGGTGGCATGTGCCCGCGTGTGCCCGCATGTGCCCGCCAGCTCTGTCCTTGCGTCTCCCCCTCCGCAGACGCGCCCTCCTCTGTGCCGCGCGCCCCCCGTCCGTACCTGCTACTATCTTTTTGATCTCAGCTGTTCGTCCCATTGAGAGGCGTACGGAAGAAAAGCAGAATAGGAAACCGTGAAAATTCTCTTTTCAGGAAGAAAAAAACCAAAGAATCAAATAGGTTCAGATAACAGATTCTAAGGGTTGAAACCAACAAGGACAGGAAGAGAAATCAGAGACAGACTCAGGCATGTGGCCTCCCTAAAGCAGGCCCTGCACTCAGGGGACCCTGTGCACCTTCAGGCCCTGCCATCCAGGTCCCCGGCTGCCGGAAGGCTCAGGTGGCATCCTGGCAGCAGGCGCTCCGGGCTGGCTGTTCCCACAGGCCCCACTGGGAGGCAGATGCGGGGAGGAGGCAGTGAGGCCCGTCTCACGACCCCACCCGAGGCTACTCTGCCTCAATTCACATGCACGGGGTAAAATGCATGGCCCAGGGGGCTGATCCTCACAAGGTGCCACCAATGTGGTGACGCTGTGGGGGGCTCAGCCTGGGTGAGGCCATGGCACGGAGCCTGTGGTTCACCAAAAAATTCAGGATGGACAATCACGGGCCAGCCAGGTGACTGACACCACCTCCACTGCAGAGGGAATGCCTGACCAGTGGGGCCCTGGGGTGTGAGGTCAAAAGCCAACAGCTGGGATCACCCCAAAATGGGTAGAAGGTCGGGAAGATTCACAGCAAGTCTCACTCACTGGAGAGAAAAGGCAAGAGGAGCATCCATTTCTGGACGGGTAATGGGTCTTCACTGCAGGTGACACCAATGTCCCCTGTCCCATCTAAGGAGTAGGGCAGATAAGGGGCTGGAGCACTGCTGGGGGCAAGGAGCTAAGGCAGTAACAGTCACCGGCCTCCAGGCTGGGTCTCGGGGAGGCACATCCTGGAGCCAGCTGTGTGCCAGCCAACGCGCCCACACTGGCCGGCGGCAACACGCACGCATTAGAAACACTAACACGTCTGCTGTGACTGAAACACGAACGGTAATGGGAAGTCAGGTGACAGAGAACAGGTTCTTCTAAGACAAGAGGATATAAAAGGGCTCCTAGGGAGGTACCCGAGAAAAGGCTGAGGCAGCCTGGAAAGGGCCCCCAAGATGGGGGGCACCTGTGGCTCCTCCCCTGCCATCGCCCGGTCTGGACGCAAGGGAGGGAGGCGTCCCCAGGCCCGGGGAGAGGGCGGCAAGAGAGCCAAGTGCTTACCCTCCAGCCTGCTGCCGGCGTGGTCTCCGCCCGGGCCCTCCGAGTCCCTCTGCCCTCTCAGCTCCGCGGGCTGCCCGGCCCCGGGGGCCAACTTCCCACCTACACACACAGGATGCGGGTTCGCAGAAACTCAGGGGGACCGGGGAGGCGCGGAAGACGGCAGAGGGAGAACGAGAGGAGGTGGCGGATGTTCCCTGAAATCGCCCTCCGCATCAGCCCTCCGCCCCTGCTCAGTTTATCCGCGACCTGATGATTACCAGGGAGGTAATAAAAAATACGCAACAATCTCCCCGGCCGTGGCAGCGAGCCAGCATTAACCACCCTCGCCAATTAACATGCTAGAGCCGTCCCAGCCGGCTCCGAGCTGGCACGTCACAACGCGGTACCTGTCAAGCGCCGCGCGCCAGCCCGGTGCGCCCGGACACAGGAGCAGCGCGGCGCCTGACATTCGGTGGTACGCAAAGAGCTGCGTGACAGATATCACAGTCGCTGTCAAGCCACCAGCCTCTCACTCTGACCCCCAGCTGAAGGGCGGCCACATTCACACGCTAATCTTGGAGATGGGGAAACACGGGGACAGGAGGAAGGCCCCCCGCCCACTGCAGGAGCCTCCAGGGAAGGGGGCGCCCAGGCTGACACCCACCAGGCTCGCTCTCCGCGGGCTCGCCCACGGCCCTTGCGGCGTGGCCCGGGATGCCGGCTGCTCTCTCCCCTGCGCCTGCCCCCAGGGACTCCTGCCCCTCTGGGAGCTCTGCCTGGGGCCCAGGATGCAGACCCCTGTTGCCTAGCTCCAAGTCTTCCTTCACGGGCTCCACGGCTGGCTGACCGTTTCCTTCTGGAACCTTCTGGGGATCTTGGGGAAGAGCGCCCACTGCCTCCAAGGCCTGGTCCTGTCCAGGTCGCTCTCTCTTTGAATCTGGCAGAGGTGGCACCATCTGACCCTTGTCCCCCGGAGCCTTCTCAGCCACGTGTTTAGACGAACGCACATCCTCCTCCGGTCCTTCCCGGTCTTGACCTTCGTCCACCACCACCTTGTCATGAGGGACTGGGGGCTCGTGGCGGTGGGCCTCGCCCACAGGCACCGCCACACCTGGAGAGAGACAAAGGACATGCTGGGGATGAGGAATGACCCGGCCTTCCTTCTCAGGGACTGTGAACTGAGTGAGCTCTAGTGCCTAATGATGGGACACAGGCCCGCGCGTGCCACCTCTCACAGATGTGACTGCTGTCTAGCTGAGGAGCAGCACTATTTCTAGAAAATTATGAGACAGGCCAGGCAGCTGCAAACCAGCTGCTTTGGCCGGGGGCAGAACATCCGCCCGAATCAAAGGCTAAAGGAGGCAAAAAGGCCCAGAACTTGCGCAGGGCTAAGGGGTAGAGACCCAGCGCCCCATGCTCAGCCCTCCCGGCCACACCTTGCGCGGGGCGGTCCAGCTGCACCTCCTCCTGCTTCTCCTTGGCGCCTTCCCTCTGCGGCACGTTCTCGGGACCCTTAATCTGGGCCTGCTCCATCTCATCTTTCTCAGGTGGCAGCTTCGGCTTATCCCGGCCGTCCTCAGCCACGGCCACCCCTGCTTTCTGGCCTGTGAGCACAGCAGAGCTAAGTGAGCGGCATTCCCCGCTGGCTGCACCACCAACCAGCACCAAACACGGCAGCTTTCCCTGGATCGCAGTCACATCTCCCAGTCGAATGGCAGAGCCGAAGCAGTTATGTTTTTTTTCCTTCAGTCACTAGCAACTAAGTAGCAGAGGAAACTGTCACTTTTCTCATGTATTCGTAGCAAAGATACGTCAAAATGAAATTTACACCTAACTGGGTGCAGAAGAGCACACTCCCTGTAACACTGGTCATCACCACCAGATGGCAGCATGAACCCACTGTTGGACTGGGCTGGGGGCCGCAGGCTTGGGGACACCACCCTCCCAAACTCAACGCCTCGTTGCAGCCTGGGGCCTTAAGTAAAAGGCTCTTAGGAGGTGACCTGCAATCCTGAGGAGTTCTGCTGATGGTGAGGGTCAGTGTGGACAGGAAGATGAGCAGAGGACAGCCTGCAAAGCTGCGCCGCCCGCCTCCCACAGCCGTCCACACCTGCACGGTCACCCCGGGCCCCGAGAAGGGCCGTGAGGATGGCCCTCAGAACGAGGCCGAAATGGAGCCTATTAGGAACCTCCACTTAAAATAACGCACTTTCTACGTGTTAGGCAAATGTGACAAAACTAAAGAGCTGTGTCGGAAACAAAAGACCTTTAAAAACGGTCACTTCACCCCAGAGGCCAGAAGCAATCTCTGTTCCCATCTCAGGGCGGGGAGACAGAAGTCCTCGGTGGCCGGACACGGCCTCAGGCAGGGCACCGCAGCGGAGGGGCCCGAGTGCGGACCGAGTGCGGACATCTCACAACAGCCAGAGGGGGACTCAGCTCAGCCGACTGCGTGTGCCAGGCCGGGGGCTCCCGCACATATGTGGCTGGGGGCCCGCTGTCCCACACAAGCCGGCAGAGGGACGGGGCCCCTGGTGGGGGGCTGGTTAGCAGGGAGCCAACTCTGCACTCTATTCAAATAAGCACATGGCTGTCGCCCGAGTGGGTGAAAATGTCCTGGTCTCTGCCACACGACGATCCCCTCACAGCGGCCCGCGCTCCAGCGAGAACCGCTACAAACCAGAGGCGCCCGCCTGGCGGACTGCGCAGTCAAGGAAGGGGCCAGGAGCGGGAGGGCAGACACCACGAGGCAGAGTCGGCCTCCACTGGGTCAGAACCAAGTCGCCTCTGAGCAGTCATTTCTCAGCAGGGAACAAAATTGGTCCATCGTCACACGTGAAGGACGGGCTGAGGCGAGCTCCGTGCGGACCACCAGACGGGGAGGGACCGTGGCGAGCGTGGCGTCGCCTGGGAACTCGCAACTGTGAGCTGCCTTTGGGGCGCCGGGAGGGCTCGGCCCGCGCCCCACCTCAGCCTTCTCAGGCCTCGACTCTGCACTTCGCAAGGGCCATGGCGCTTTCTAAGGTGGCACCCAGCTCTTCGCCGGGGCCAGTGTGCCGGCAATGCCTCCTGGCTGCAGTAAAAATACCATAACATAAAACGAGTGACCGAAAGCGGCCCACGTGCCCCAGCTTGGTTCCCACGGCAACGTGACCACATTGTGCTAAGACCAGAGACCACCCTGTGTGGCTGGCGATGCCACTGGCCAGTGAACAGGGCAGGACGGTGTGGAAGGAGCCGCTGGGGAGCGGGGGCTGTGGCGCCCCACTTTCTCCGGGAAGGCAAGCAGCAGGTGGGGCTCAGGAGTGGCCAGCAGAGGGCGTCCCGCGCCAGCTCACACTCTGGGGCCCCCAAAGGTCAGCGCCCGCCCACCTCACTGGTCAAAGAGGGCGCTTCCTACGACCAAAGTCAAGCTCGCCACGACCTGCGATGCAGGTGGACCCAGCAAATCCTGTGCTCATGCCTCTCCGCCAGGCGGTGGTGGATGAGCGGCCTCCCCAAACACTCGTGATGGCCCTGTGGCGACGAGGGATGCGCTCACACTCCTGACAGTGCTTCAGGCGGGTGTGGCACTAATTCCGCAGTCCTGCTCAGGGAGCGGGGCACAGACCGCCGGGCCGCTGCCCTGGGCTGTCTGTGTGGTTGGCGCGTGGCAGTTGGGAGTGCGGCGTCCAGACCAGCCCGTTGGCGTGGTGATGAGGAAAGTGCATTCGAGGCCAGTCTCCCCTGTAGCACAGAGCACAGGCGGGGAGTCCCACGGCCCGGGGCCTGGGGCACACTCTGCTGTCACCCACATGGACTGGTCTCTGCATCTTGTGAGCAGTAAAGAAGGAAGAGCCACCTCAGACTGCCAAGTGCCAGTCAAGTCACTTGCACCTGAGCCCCACATGTGGAGTCCTGTCGGCTGGGGGAGAGCTCGAACTCAGGGGTGCGTGGGACCCCAGGGCAAGAACAACTGCCTGATGCTGTGGGGTGACGCTCTTGACACCCGGTCCTGCCTTTCTCCAGGGTGCTGGCCTCGAGGGTGTGAGGAGGGGTGGCTCGCTGAGGGCTTCTTAAACCCCACTCTTATCGGCTGAGCAGCTATGGGACCCCGACTATGACACCCGCTCATCTTCCCAATATGCGGGACTCCCACTGCTCCCCGGGCCCCACGCTCCCACCGGGTGGCCGCCAGGGCACCAGAGTGGCTCACCCCTCAGGGGCCTCCTACAAATAGGTGGGCAGGTGGGGCAGGCCCGCCGCTCAAAAGGGACCAGGTGGGTGGCGACTCTGGGCTGTGCCCTCCTGCCCCCCAATCCAGCCGGTCGATGACGCCGGTGTGGCTACCTTGGACGGCGCCAGAGAAATGCCGCATCCTGACACAGCAGAAAAACGACAGCCGCCGGGGCAGCGGGCGCGGGACACAGCAGCTGTCAAAGCCCCTCCCAACGGGGCTCAGACCCGCAGAGAGCGGACGTGGGAGCTACGTGGCCCTCGCAGGCACGTGGGTATCTGTCACGGGAGCTGGGACACTTTCCCAGCGGCGCACAGGCAGCTGGTGCAGGCACACAAGGGCGCGAGCTCAAGACAGAGGACAGTGGAGCGGAGGGACGGGTGGCGGTGAGCTCCTGCCCAGGCCCGTGGTCACCCTCTGCCACCTGAAGCCACACGCACCAGCAGACCTGCCTCCTGCCCACCCGAGGGCCTGGCACACTGCCCAGCCGGGTACCCGAGGCCCCGTCCTGGCCCTTCCTCTCCTCTCCCACGGCCGCGTCCCCCCACTGCAGGACGGGGGCACGTCATACAAGGGGTGTGGGCCAAGGCTGCTCCCCAAGACCACGTGACAGGGGTGTGGGCACTGGGGGGGAGGAAAGGGATGGCCACATTCCAAGGGGGAGCCCATGTGTCACCCCATCTGCACCCACTTGCCAGCCGCCTAGGTGCTGCCGATGTGACCTAAGTGGCCTGGCGAGCCCGAGTGTGACCGCGTGAGCCTTCAGGGGTTCAGCACCTCTCCCCGCACCTGCTGCTCCCCGCCCCAGCATGCGGCCCAGGCACTGTGCTCGCTGCCCAGAGCGCCAGGCCATGTGTGCCAGTCCCAGCTCCCCAGGGGAGCAGGACGCCTCCGTCAGTGCCAGGGCCCGCGCAGGGCTCTAAGAAGAGTTGGTACCGGTTTGAAGGGGACACCAGAGACCCGGAGACCCTGCCCGCATGCTGACAGCAGCGTCCAACGGGGCACACGCAGCACAGGCCCCGGACCCAGCGCCCCTTCAGCGAGGCGGCCCATCAATTACAGGGGAGGCGGGGGCGAGAAAAACGGAGCGTGCGCTAAAAACAAACGGCATGTGGCTCCAAGGGGCCCTGTGTTCCGCTGCAGCCTCGTGGGATAAATGGAAACCAGCTGTGGCTGCGGCGGGCTCCAGGTGAGCCAGCGCCGCCGCCGTGACAGGACGCAGCTGCTCGGCCGGCCTCAGGCGGGGGCCGCGCCGCGCC